GTCCACAAATTCGGGTGTCCAAATTGGAAACATTTTTGACACGTGCTGGGCAGTTTTCGTGTCCATACAAGTGGAAAGTATGGACAGTTGCTGGGAATGGTTGTGGAAAGCAGTTTGTGGCAGTTCTATTCCAACTAGGTTGATTTATCCCTTTTGCAGTTAAGGGTGTTAATTGCTTACGAATTTTGGTCCATATATTGAGAAGGCTAAACTGATGAGACACAGAGTGTGTTGTTTTCCTTCCGTAATCCATCATTTTCTTACGTAATTGTGGAGTAATAAACGAGTTGGTTTTTTCCTGTAAATTAGTGTGTGTTTCTTTACATTGCTACCTTTATTTTTATTTTTTTTGTTCATTGTGCAAATTCATGGGTTGACTGAGTGGAATCTCAGTGTCATCATAAGCGAAAATTTGGCTAAGTGTTTTACCAAGAATTCGACCGTGTAATATAACCCTTCTCAAGGCCTTTCATATGCATCTAGATCATCCAGGATGGTGCTAAATTGTAATAATCACTTTGAATAAAATTCATCCTTAAAATTAACTTGTAAAGAGGGGTGACGATACCGATATAAGTTGTAATAACTCATTTTGAATAAAATTTATACTTAAAATTGACTTCTGAAGAGACTTGCTTTGGGCATTTTAATTCAATTTGATCTTTAATCCTACCTCCACATACTTCGAAATTTGTTTCATAATCACAAAACTTTGGCCAATCTAATTTGTTTAATTGCTACAAAATTGAAGGGATTTTATACAACTACATCCTTCGACAACTAAGGTTGATAGAATCCAATGACAACTTTACTGCAGGTTGCCAGAAGAATTCTACCACTCCAATTGCAAAACCCATCATTTCCAGCTTCAGATAACTGGCGTCGTTTTTGTTCTTACCAGTCGTCAAATTCTTTGCCTCCCCCTAACAATAAACTCTTCGTTGGAGGTACCCCTTTTTTCCTGGCGTTATCATTTCTATAGTTTTGTTTATATACATGGTATATGTGAATGATAATAATATTGGTATATTGAATGAAGGGTTGTCATGGTCAGTGGATGAGAAATCACTCAGGGATGCTTTTTCTTCATTTGGAGATGTAACTGAAGGTAAAATTGGAGCACTTCTCTTACATGTTTGATTAAATGCCTCAGTGATCGTTAGTTGAACATGTATAAAACCTTAGTTAGTTTCTGTCCTAAAGTTCAATTTAATTCTGTGATAGCGAGGAGTATCATTATTTTGAGCTTCTTCTAGGATCGGTCAATCAAGCAAGATTATCATGTGTTTGAGATCATATTGATTAGCTGATGCAATACAGAAAAAGAAGCTTTCATGGACAATTGGGACAGCGTCGAAAAATGTAATTTTTCGGAGTTTCGGAGAATTTTGGGGAAATAATGATGGAAATTAAAGATAATTAAGAAAATTAAAAGTCATACTATTCAGATTAATCTGCAATAAAAATGAATTACAATTCGAATTTATTAAAGAAACTATCCCGAAAATAGAAAAATTCGTTTTCGGAGCCCAAAACGGTGGAATTTGGCTGGAACGGACCTTAAATCAGTAGCGAAGCACCTAAGTTTTGCTCATTGGGCCCTTTTTACCCAAATTCTCCGAAATCTAACGCTCAGAAAAATTACTTCTTTCAATGTTGGTCCCACTTTTCCATAAAATCTTCTTCTTTTCTTATTGCACATAAACCTCACTGGTAATCTGGGTACCTTTGAGTGGACAACAGAAATGTTTAAATTTTGCAATTTCTTTACTGCCATATAGAGTTGAAAACTGGTATACAAGTGAATGTAGAATATGTCTCTTCAAAATTTCAGTTTTCGAAATCAATGTAGCCTTATTTGAACTGCTATTACGATTTTTGTGATCCAGAGCTGCAGTCCATTTTTCCTTTCGTAGAATTTGAATACAGGCGAATGTTTTGGATTGCATAAGTTAATCTCTTACCGAATAAATTGCACACTGTGGTGTTTCGTTTGTGCTGAACAATATGTGCCCATTTGTGTGTTTAGTGAGGATAATGTACGATAAAGAAAGTGGTAGATCAAGAGGTTTTGGCTTTGTAAATTTCTCTAGAGAAGATGAGGCCACATGCGCAAAAGATGCCATGGATGGAAAGGTGAGAATGCTGAATGCTCCAATATATTTCTGCAAAGGTTGCTTGCTTGTGTTTACTTGACAATATTGTATCTTTAAGATAGTTTGGGTTTCAGGCATTTCTAGGCCGACCACTGAGGATAACCTTTGCCCTTGATAAGGTCCGTGGTGCACCTGTTGTAGTTCCTCGCCTTCCAAATAATGGAAATGCAATCTGGCGCAATCGTTGAGTTCATATTGTGTAACAGTCAAATCTAAATATTTTCGCATGTCAAGTCTATTAGTGATTGGGCGAGACATGCTAAAGGTTGTGCTTGAAGACGAACTCATGGTCATCCTTGGTAATGCTTTCTTGATGGACTCCGGATTATGTATGCAAAACTTTTAGGTGAGTACCGGGGAAATTAT